TTGAGTAACCCCGGAAACTCGAGTAATCCTTGACCGAGTAACTCAAATAACCCCTGACCGAGAAACTCGAGTAACCCCGGCAGCTCGAGTAACCCCTGACCGAGTAACTCGAGTAACCATTAAATTTTATATATTTTTTATTTATTAATATACAATTAAAAATAGGTAATGTTATATGTAACCATTAAATACATTTCCTAAAATAGTGTAAATTTTGCCTAAAAAAAAGAATATTGTATATTTAGGAATTTATGAAAAAGACAAGCTTAATGAGTAAATGAACTTTAAGAGTTACAGTAAAATCTAATCCAATCTGAAATATATCTGGTATAATTCAATTCAAATGTCAAAAAAGGGTTTAGGCCAAGAAACAGAGTCATTTAAATTTTTCATAGGAGTACAAGGGTGTATTGGGCTGTACCTTTTAAGTAGCTGGTTTGACTTGGTCAAACCACTACTTAACAAATAATATGAATGTTTGGTAATATAGTGGTTAGGTTAGCTTTTAGTGGTGGAGGTGGATTTTATCAAAATTTAGAAATTTTAGCTTTTGAAATTAGAGGTAGCTATTGAAAATTTAATTTATAGTTTTAGGAAATAATATTGATTTTTATATGTATCAACTACTCAACAGCTCTTTTACCGAACACTCATACCTAAATTATCTATATTCACAGCTAACAGCTTGTTGATAATTAACAGCTACTTACACAGCTAACAGTTACTACAACAGCTAATATCTACCTTCACAGCTATATTTTGCCGAACACGCCCTAATTACAAAGTATATGTCCGGGACATGGAAAAGAAATGAGACACAGCACTCCGACATGAGAAAGGAGCAAGAAGCCATGCATGTACTCCATATCTCCGCATGTCATTTTGACTCCAAACAAAAAGAAAAAAAAAAAGGAAAAAACAAAAAAAAAAAATACAAAACTTAAACTTGTAGTTTCTTAAAAAAAATCTATGAAAAAATTCTTTATTTGAAAATGATGAACCCAAACCTACCATTCTTCTTCTTTTGTAGTTTGTAGCTTTGTATACTACTATACTACTTCCTCTCTTCTTCTTTAACTAATACATGTCTTTTTTGTATCTTTTATTTTCTAAATAGTAAAGAAAACTCTGATCAAATTTTAACCCTCACGGTTTATTTGGTCTAATATTTGCGGGTCAGATACTTGAGAATAGAAGGGAGGGTAAAGGAATCTCTACCCCTGAATATCGTACCCTTACCTAGTAGGATTCGAACCCCAAAACTTTAGAATATAAAGGTAAAACCTTATCAAGTGAACTAACACTTCATTGGCTAACACGTCTTTTATAGGATATGTTATCCACTTTGCCACTCATATTACTTTGCAAGTCAATAATTAATATATATGAAAGTATTGAATATAATTAATCATCAACAAATAAATTTTTCATATTATTTTCACAGTTTGTAATTTGTAAATGTCCTTTCTATTTGGAATCTAAACAACATTCACAACTCAGGAGAATCTCCCCCATTGATAAAAAAAAATGGTCAAATGCAATCTTGTTTGATTCATCTCGATGATTATTTTTAGAACACAGAGTATCAGACTTTTACAAAGTACGAAGTATAATTTAAACAAATATGTAACTAAAGATATTAATGATTTAAAATATGCATTAGCAATAGGAAACGTGTCAAATTGAAAATATTACTCCCTCTGTCCCATAACAGCTGACACAGTCAAATTAGAAGTCGATGTATTAGTTTGACCTTATTTTAACATAAATAAATATTAATAAAAATTATAAAAATAATTATATTATGAAATTTATATTAATACCTATCTAACGACATATTTTATGATAAAATATGTTGTAATTATGTTAATAAAAAACAATATTAAAAGTTAATATATGAAAAGTGACAAAAAATTTAACGTGTTAATTACTTTGGGACGGAAAGATTATTCTACAAATTATAAACTCTATATATTTTGAAAACATACCATGAGACAAATCTAACAATAATTTACACAATAAACTTTTCTTTTTTTATGTCTAATACTCCGTAAATCATAAATGCAGTTAAACTATACACCCTCCATTTTTTTTAAGTGTCTCATTAGAGTGTGCACGGAGTTTTAGGCAAAAGAGTAAAGTAATACGAAGTATATAAGTGGTATAGTTATGAATAAAAAATTTAGAAAAGTGAAGCCCCAAATCCTTGATTTGGCCAGGAAAGACTGCACTGCTTTGGGCCCAGTAAGCGAAGGGAGAAAGATCGATAAATATTATTAAATGATGGCATGGTTAAAAAGAAGAGAAAATTATGGAGTATTACAGTATATAATATGAGTGGGGTTTCTAAATTTGGTAATGTAACTCTTAAAAAAAAACAGTCATTTTTAAAAAGTGAGGCACAAAATAAAAACAAAGAGAGTATTACAGAGTGCGTACATACTGTCAAAAGTTAATTAACATTTCAACTTAAAAAATTAAAGAGGTACTCGTAGTTTATTTTTATTAGAATTGCACATTTTCTTAGCAACATACTGTACTTAAAAAAAAAAAAAAAAAAAAAAAAAAAAAAAAAAAAAGGTCGTAAAAATGAAAGAAGTACAAAAACCTCTCGTTAAAACCCTGATACCCCTACAAAAGAAGAAAAACGTAGGTAAGCCACTACGCCTTGTTTCATGCATTTGGAAAAATTCAAAATAAAATTGCCTTTTTCTGTGCCACTGTCACCCTACCCTCTTTCCTCCCTTCTTTGAATTAGCCGACAACACTACAACGAACATAAAGAGAGATTTTTAAAGAAGGTGTTTGGCATCCAGCTTTTCGTCTAATTTTTGACTTTTGGCTTTTTAATTTGGTCAAACAACTTAAAAATATGTTTGGTTATTGGTTTTTTGTTGGATTTTACGCTGATTTTTTCGCCAAACGCTAATAGGAGTAGTTTTTTCTATTGACTTTTGGCTTGTTCGCCCACTTTATCACTAATAAACAGCTAACAATCATTAATAATTTTACCAAACATTTTTGTAAACAGCCGGCTTAAACAACTAATTTAAAAAACAAATCCATACAACTAATAGTTTCAGCTAGTCAAATAAGTTAAGCCAACCGCCAATTGCCAAACACTTTTGTAAACAGTCGGCTTAAACAACTAATTTAAAAAACAAATCCATACAACTAATAGTTTCAGCTAGTCAAACAAGTTAAGGCAACAACCAACCGTCAATTGCCAAACAACCCCACAGTGAGATGGAATGAAAGCCAAAAGACCAATTTTAATGCTCCTAATCTCTTTTTCCCTTTTCTTTTCTTTAATTTTTCCTTTTCGTCGTCTCCTAAATTTACATGTTTTAATGGCGATCACACAAATGATCAATGCAATTATAAGTTCAAAGAAAGCAACATAATTAATGAAAAATAAATTGTACTGTACCAACTTAAAGTTTAGCTTTACCCTTCAATGCCCCTATTATCTTTCTAGCTACTTAAGTGGTTACTAGCACAAAACAAACCACACCCCCCCCCCTCCCCTCCCTTTTCATTTTGTTTAATTTAAGGTAAAATTCAATACACTTAATTCAAAATTAAGCTAAGTTAAGTCTAGTGGAAAAGTTTACATCTAATTAGAAGTTTAATTCTCACTAAAGATAATTTAGGGCTTGTTTGGTTGACAAAATAAAATGGGAAAAGTGAAAATTCATGAGATTTTGTAATTTGGGTAGCTGTTTAGTTGACACAAAAAAGCAAAAATGGGGGAAGTTGGAATTCATGGAAATTTCTAATTCCCACAAAACATAGAAAGTAAATTACCTAGGCCCCTTAGGTCAATCAAAATTCATAGGAATTTCAACTCCCCATTGTCACAACCAAACGATTTAAAAAAATTCCTAGAAATTTCATTTAGGAAATAATTTCCCGTGCCAATCAAACGAGGCCTTAATATATTTAATCAATCTATACTTAGTATTTAAAAACTCTAACTAAGAAAGACACATGTTCCCATCCTATTACACTTCTCTATCTTCTTCTCTAACCAAAGTGCCACATGTCTTCTTACATTATTAATTTTTTACTGCACCAACTTTCTTTAATTCTTTCATTAAACTTATAATTCATCTTCCATGCACACTTCATCCCTTCATCTTCATTTCTCCTCTTCAATTCAACCTTTTCCTATTCACTCTTTAATTTTAGCCCCCCCTCCCCCTTCTATTTAAGCCTCTTTTTCAATTAAAGTTCCAAAATTTTAATTTCTTTAATCATGTTTCCGATTACATATTATAATCCATAATGACTTATTGATATTTCCTCACTCATCTCTCAATGCAATTTTATATGAATAATATGTGCATTGCACGGGCCAAAAGGCTAGTTTCTATTGAAAAGGTATACAGACTCTAGTAATCTTCCTATATTAGGGAAAGATTAATAAGCAAAAAAAATTACAAAAAATAAAAATAAAACATTTAAGATAAAAACCACAGCTTCTTTAAGAAGCTAAAAAAGCTTCGCTAAAGCTTCTTTAAGAAGCTAAAACCAATAGCTTCTAAAAGAGGCTAGAGCAAACATCGGCAAACAAGGGGATGACGCCCACCACCAAATCGTCGTGGCCAACAAGTGATGATGACTAAGGTCGTGATCTCTTGGACCTATTTTTTAGTATCCCAACTTAAATATATTCAAACCAGTTATGCTTAGATTAATTCAGTCTAAACGAACATGACCTAATTGTGTTTAGAAATAGGTCTAGGTCTGAAAAATGGACTGAACTGACCTTGGATCGGATCAAACCGAAGATAACCAATTTGGTCTACTGATCGACAAAATTTGAAAACTGATATTCAGTTCAATTCAAGCCAAAATCTCTTAATAACTGGTTTGAAGTATTCAAAATCCTTCTACGTCACACTATCTTACTAGACGTGTTATAAACCAAAAAGGTCATAGGCGTCATATTACACTACTTGACTTAGATCACACATACATACAATGATATACCTATAACACTATATATGGACTGAACCCAATATTTATATTGAAAATGTACTTTACTAATTATAACAATAATACAAATATAAACATAAAAATTTGTTTCAAGTGGAATACCCCAGCTCATTTCTACTAGTCGTACTAGCTAGTAAGCACTGTACCAGCATACTCAAATCGTACAACAACCAAACTTTAATAATACAACCAAAAATAAAAATAAAAAATAACAATACCAGAAATATAACAAAAGATATTTATAAATTACGTTGCACCTTCATTCTTCACTTGGCCAAACTGTCCACATCTTACTACGAGTATTCATTTTCTCTCTCCTCCCTCACTCCCCCATCCTATCCATCTATACATACAAACCCTTCGAAAATAAACACCTAAAAATAAAAGAAAATAAAAAAAACATTTTCACTTGAATTTCTATTTTCTCTCTCCTCTTTAAACCGCCTTTAGCTTGTGAGCAAGCTGCTCTCTACTCCACTTCTTAGCCACCTCTTCCTTACTTTCTCTCTCCTCTTTTTCTTCTTTCTTTCTTTTAATACCCTTCAATTTCAACAGATCTCTTTCAGTATTCACACTTTCTTACATTATGAACAAGCAAGATTTCTTAAAAACCCAGGTATATATTTCATTCTTTTCTCCTTTTATTTTTGTAATTTTTTTGTCTCAAATAATTACAACTACAACTAATGTGTAATAATTAATGGTTTGTTTTTGTAGAGTTGTGTTCTTAGAGTGAACATACACTGTGATGGCTGCCAGAGTAAAGTCAGAAAAATTCTCCAGAAAATTGATGGTAATTTTATTTTTGTTATTATTTCATTTTTCTTAGATCTGAAATTACTGTATTTTTGTTACATTAGCTACTCATTTCTTTCCATGTAACCTTGGTTATATTATTGTACTTTACATATACTACTCCCGTTTTTTATTGTTACAAATTTTTTATGTCTCACAAATAATACCCTTTGTTGCAAATAATAGAAAATGATTTCGGAATATGTTATGAGAACTGTTATCAAATTTGTTGTTTAACAATGGTCTAATTTAAGTTAGTTAATGTTTTTTTTTCTTTTTTCTTTTTAGGGGTTTATAAAACGGAAATAAATTCAGAGCAAGGGAAGGTGACGGTAACTGGGAGTGTAGACCCAGAAGTATTAATCAAAAAGCTTGAGAAAAATGGCAAGCATGCTGAGTTATGGGGCCCAGCGAAAGGCTCTAACAACAACAACAACAACAACAACTTCATGAATCAGTTTATGAATGTTAATAATCAGATGAAAAACTTCAATTTAGACGGGGGTAAAAATGGAAAAGACAACAATAACAAGGCTCCAAAAGGTGGTGGTGGTGGTAAAGATCAGCATAAAGGTGGACAACAGCAGCAACAACCACAGCAACTACCACAGCAACAGATGCAACATTTTCAGTTTCTTCAGCAACTTCAGCAACAGCAACAGATGAAAGGAGGACAAGGAGCAAAAATGATGGCTGCTCCGCCTAAGGAGCAGCAGCAGAAGGCAGTGAAGTTTAACATGGCTCCACCTGAGGATGACTTCGATGACGAGTTTGACGATGATGATGAGTTTGATGACGAGTATGACGATGAATTTGATGATGAGTTTGATGAGGATGATTTGGATGATGATGTTTATGGTGGCGGACATCACCAGCATCAGGCGGTGAAGAGTGGAGCTGTTATGATGGGTAAGGAAGGAAAAGGCGGGTATAATGGTGCGGGTGATAATAAGAAAGGGAAGAATGGTGGTGATAAGAAGGGCAAGGATGGTGGAAAGGGTGGTAAGAAGGAAGGTGGTGGGATGGCTAGTATGATTAAGGGTATGTTAGGGGGTGGTGGTGGAAATAGTGAGAAAAAGAAGGGTAATGATGGAAAAAAAGATGGTAAAAATGGTGGAAATAACAAAGGAGGTGGTAAAAATGAACATGGTAAGAATGGTGAACATGGTAAAAATGGTGGTGGTGGGGGTAAAAATGGGGGAGGAGGGGGTGAGGGTAAAGTGGTAAAACATGTAACATTTGAGAGTAATAATAAAGGTGGTAAAAATGGTGGTGGTGGGGGTAAAAATGGAGGAGGGGGTAATAATGGAGGAGGTAAAAAAGGTGGAGGCGGCGGTGGCGGAGGAGATGGGAATATGATGACTATGGGCCAGAAGGGTAATTTCCCAATGGGTCAAATGGGAATGGGCCCGGCCGCGGCAGGGTTGCCAGCTTCTCACATGATGATGAATGGTGGTGGGCCCGGTGGCGGAGGTGGAGGTGGGTATTATCAAGGGATGGGTCCAGGTCAAGGCCCAAGTCCAACCCAATTCAATCCTCAGCAGCAGTACATGGCAATGATGATGAACCAGCAGAGAATGAATGGCGGTGAGGGTTACGGGATGATGCCGCCTCAGGCGGCTCAGCCCATGAATATGATGTATGGAGGACGGCCACCGATGGGGCCGATGGGCTACGCACCTTCAATGGTTCCTCCACCGGGTTACCATGACCCTTACACTTCCTATTTTAGTGATGAAAATACTGATAGTTGCAGTATTATGTAAATTCTTCTCTGTAATTTTTAATTTTGGTAATTTATTTCGAGGATATGTTTTTAACTAGTGTGTGTTTTTAGATCCTAGTAATTTAGTTTCATGTGGGTTTTTTTTTTTTTAATTTTTATTTTATTTTGGGGTAATTTAGTATGAATGTAGTACTTTTAGTTCAACTTGAAGAGTTGATAATGATAAGTGTCATTCTCGTGTAAGAAGAATAGGAAATGGAAGTTTTTGTTTTTTGGTAAATATATGGTACTCCCACTAATCCACTTGAAATCTTTTATTGTGAATTTCATGTTACTTTCATTTTCATGTTATTTTCTCCATTGTCTTTATCACCTAGTTTTTGTAGAACTTTTGATGTCTTTGTCAATTCATTTAGTGAGATTTATAATTTTGCTGAAGAGTTAAGATCGTGTTTTCATTTGTCTATAATAACATATCATTCCACCAATTGTTTAGAATTTTCGGGCTCATGAATTGTGAAGATGATTGTATTTATTAACGTGACAACTAAATCTGAATAAAGTGCAAAATGAAAAGTTTCTCAAAACCCTTTTTGACTCAAATTAGGAGTGATTTAATTTTACTAGGTCCGATTATTATAATCCAACTATGCTTCTAAGCTGGTCCATCCAAAATAGAGTTTTGACCCAAAGATGAACTTTAAGTTGACAGGATGAGTTCTCCCAACTGAGTACTGAACACCTGATCAGGTCATGTGTGGTATTGACTTTTAGATTAACTACATTGCTTTTTTGACTAACGGACTGATTTAGGTGCATTTGGCGTGGTTACCAAATTTTATAAACTAAAGCTGTTTTTTTCGATTAATGCATTCAGATTATTAAAATGCAAGTTTATGGGCATTCATATGACAATGGTCCTCGTACTATTAATGTTTCAAAATTTCCACAACTACTGTAGACTTGACCCATGTTCTTTTGAGCTGATGTAGTCTGATTTGCTCTGTTCTACTTAAAAGTGTCAAAGCCTAACCAATTAAAAAAAAAATCATTCGTTTCGAACTGTAACCAAACCGATTTGACCCGAGAAATTCAAGGCCCAAACCCGATCTGTAATGGAATTGAGTTCAACCCGAATCCGAATTTGACCCGATTTGAACTTAAACCGGCACCCATTTGACCCGACTTGAACTCAACCCGAAACCGATTTGACCCAACTTGAACTTAAACCGAACCGGTTTGACCTGACCTGAATTCAATCCAAATCGAAATTGACCCGACAAATACCCGATTCAATCCGATTTGTTTTTTTTATCCAAACTAATATTAACCCGACCAGATTTTGACTTGACATGATTTCAAACTAACCATAATTTCAAAGCCAACCTATTATTTACCTTTTTTCACTTAAACATATATTAAAGACACAATTTGGAAAAGTGACACATGAATGACTTGATATCGACCCAAAAACAAGATTAAAAAATAAAATAAGATAAAATAAATCTCAATAAATACTCTAGTTTTTAAAATATAATTATTTGAATATTAATTTGGTCAACACAACCAAAATTTAGCCAAACACAAAAAGTATCTGAACTAGAATTGACCGAATACTGAATCAATCTTAGTTATTAAATTGAACTTAACAGAACCAAAATCAATCGAACCGAAACCAACCCGATCCAAAGTCATTCGACCAGAAATTAACCCGGTCAAACCCGATTCGAATTTATCCGAACCGAATATGAACTGATCTGAAGTTGACCCGACCCAAACCCGATCTGGACCTGACAGATCTTGACCTAAATTTGACCCGACTCGAAAGTGACCCGATCCGACCCAAACTGAGTCAAAAGGGTAATTATGAACCGAATATACCAGACCCATACAAACCCGACCCATCATGAATCAACCCAAACTCCATTCGTTTATTCGAATTGACACCTCTAACTCTACTTAGTATTATAATAATCTGCTGAAATTTGCTCTGCTCATAAGTTTAAAAGGATAGGTGTAATGTGCTACTCTCCCTGTCCCTTATTTTTTTGCCCCATTTGACTTTTCATGGTCTCCAAGATATATCTTCAAACGTATATATCTCTATTTTTATACGCGTAAAAATTATTAAAATTTGATATTAATAAACTATACAATGAGACGATTTTAACAAGATCCTATATTAATATATTATCACATATAGATTAACGAGAATTCATGGTTAAAGTTTTAAAAATTTGACCCATATTTTTATAATGGGGTAAAAAATAAGGGATGGAGGGAGTATATTTAATACTCATAGTACTTGAGTCTCGAAAAAGGTACTATTATGTATGGTTTTTTTTTTCAATACTTCATAAGTTTCATAGATTATGGCATTATTATATACGTATTTATTTTGCTTTGGTGTAGCAATATAAGGGTATTTTTTATTCGACTTATTTATATTCAAAAATTTCTAAGAAATTGAAATGTATTTCGGGAAAATAAGTTTCAACAAGTTAAAATATATTCAAACAATTTTTTTTTTTCCATACACACAAATAAATTTATATTTAATATAATACTTTTTTAAAAACAAAAATATGTTCAAATATATTAGTGTGATTATAATCACAGAGTAGGTCCTTAACTACGTACCCAAAATACATTAAAAGAAGTTATCGAGTAATTAAAATAGCAAAATCGATAATTGATAATTTGGTTAGCGGGTGTTCCTTTTTAGAATTGGTGTGAAAAATTCAATTGACAAGATCAATATGTTGTACTCGTATTTTTTATTTTTAATATTCGACCGAATGAAATATCAAACCTTGTCAATAGTTTCTTTTCTCCAATCCAAGAAACCCGAATTGGAAGTTGCAGGAAAAATAAATAAATAAATAAAAATTAGAAGTTGCAGAGGTTACCAAAAATTGGATTCTTTGTAGAAGAAGAATCAAGGAACACTCATTATTCACTCAAAAATTAGATTACTTTGAAGAGGAATAATCAAGGAACAATCTTATAGCCTAATAGGTTAATAGGCTGTTTCTTGTGTAAATTCCTCCTACCGTATATCAAGACTTTAACTATAGTAACATGATCTTATTGTCACACCTAAAATCTTATAGAAACTGTTTCGGGTGAAAACAATGGGACCTTGTCGAAGGTCCGATGAAGTGGAGAAGACTGGATTCGGTCCAAATGATGTTGGGTCGAAGGTTTCCTGCACAGCAAACACACGTAAACTAGCCTCGGGGGTGTTGCCGAGGGAGGCCCCTCCGATGCTAAAGTCAGTACAGTGTGTAGAGAGAGAATGCTATGCAAGAGAATTAATTGCTTGAGGCTTTGTTTGAATGAATGTACAAATGTGATATTGATGGCTTTTATACCTTTGCATATATGGAGAAGTTGGGCCTTAGCCCAATTGACTTGCCTTGTGGACTGATCTTGACTTTAGCACAATTGGAGAGTTGAACCTTGACCTTGGGCTTTTAATTATCATTTAATGACTAGGCCCAATTGGACTAAATTGGACCCAAACAACTTGCCCCCCAGACCCGATTTGGAAGGATGACGGGTCGGGTTTGATTAATCAGAAAAGGAGGGAAGTGAATGATTTAATTAATCCAAGAAATTTGAATTTAAACCGTAATTAATGAGATAACAACGGTTAGGCGAATAATTGTGGAAGTTGGACGGATAATGGGCGGTTTAATCGCGAGGTCGTGTGTTTAACGGTTACTTGGCGGGGTGTTTAAGAGAAATTGAAGCGCGGACTCCCAGAATTCCCATTTCTGGAGATATAATTAGAGGCGCGTCATCTCTCCTCACTTATTCACCAACACAAACCCAGAATTCTCGAGAAAGCCCAAGAACCCGCGTCAAAACTTCGCAAATTCCCCGAGCATTAAGCTTATAAACTGAGACTCGTCACTACCAATTCGTAAATCGCCAACTTTCGCTTTAGATTAAGGTAAATTCCTTTGATTTTAGTTTATTTTTCCTCGAATTTGAACTCTTTCCCCTTTTTTCGGCTTTTTTCTTCGAAACTCATCCATGGTGAGAGGAGTTAGAGGTAGGGCCCGTGCTCCAAGAAGAGCAAGACCAATTCCCGATCCTAGGAACAGAATTGGGACCTGGAATGGACAGAGAGTAGAGCCTGATCCTGCTGAAGGGATTAGGGCGACTCCCATTTCTTCGGATCCTCCTCAGGGAACGGAGGGGCCGAGCGCTTCTGGGCGGGACGATGAAGTTCCCGCTATCCTTTGGGACATCCTTCCTGGGTTTTCGGAGTGGGAGGATGCTGAAGTAGCTTCGGCCATGATAAAGAACCGCCCCTACTCGTGGTGGGTAGAGAATGCTGAACAGTATCGGTTTGCCGAGCAGATTGAGTTGCATTACGGCATCCTTGAAGCTGATGGGTATTGGTGCCGAATGCCCGTGGCATCCGATAGAATCCATCGTCCACCCCCGGGGTATGTGGGGGTGTACACAAGACAACTTCAGTATGGGCTGAGGTTCCCTTTGGACGTATTCGTCCGAGACTTGCTGATCCATTATAATATTTCCCTATGTCAGCTAACTCCCATTAGCATCCGAAGGGTGATGACATACTTATGGGTCTGCAAGTTCTTCACGTATGTGCCGAACCTGCACTGCTTCAAAAAGCTCCATTGGCTAGTGCCAAATATTCAAAGTGGGCACGGAAGTCACGGTTCTGGGTGGTACCGGATTGAGTCTCGGCCCCAGTACCTAACCATGTGGCCGAACGACTCTTCAGACAAGGACTGGAGAGGTCAATGGATTTGGGTTAGGGCGCCCACGGACCCGGGCCACCCTTGCGTCTTCAGCGCTCCCAGGTATCTTGCTGAGCCTGATCCCGACATGGGAAGTTTAGGTCCCCCCGAAGATAATGGCCTAGATTCGAACCTTAATCAACAGAACATCTTCGGCAAGCTGCCGAACCGGGGAGGCAGCGGTCGAATGCAGCATATCCCGGAGACTTGGCTCCCCGATACGTATTACGTCTTCCAAGAGAACATGTTAGCAGCCGTCGGCCTCAGCCGAAAGTTTAGGGATGGTAAGCTTCTTCGGCTGGGGCCGAGGCCTTTTAATTATCTCTTTTCCTCCGTTTTCACTTCGCACTTTTCTGCTGTGCCAACCTAGCTGAACTGACCTTCTTCCTCTTCTTTTTCAGAGCGGGACGAGACCAACGTCGGCATTAACTACGCTCGTCTTGGTGTCAACCGAGAACGAGTTGTAACTGATCGGGCCCCCTCTATCACTGAACCGAGGCATAGGGAAGTTCATCTAGGCTCTTCCCATTTCCAAATTGAGGC